AACCAACTGGGCTAACCAGCCCGCCCTTTTTTTTTTTTTTTTTAACCAAAAATTTTTCCTTTTTTTTTTTTGTCCTTTTTGAGACCGGCCGCACCTCGCTCAGCCAGTGAGCTGCCGGTCTGTATGTGGGATCTGAACCCTCAGCGGGAGCGCCGCTGCGCTCCCAAGCGGTGTACTGTAGCAGTGCACCACTGGGCCGGCCCAAGTTTCTCCACATCTTTGCCAACACTTGTTTCTGTCTGTCTGTGACAATAGCCGTCCTGGAGGTTATTACTCCCTTTTTTTTCTTACGCAAGTAAATACTATATATAGTTCTGTACTTTTTTGTAACCTAACAATATATCCTGTGCTCACTCCATATCAGTGTATAGAATAATTTTTTTTTTTACCATTCAAGTTTTATTAAAGAAAGAATAGAATAATTTTCCTTATTCCTTTTTATATCTTCATAGTATTCCAGCATGTTTATATTCCATAGCTTTATTCATTCAGTCTGTGATTACTATTTGGGTTGTTTCCAGTCTTAACCATTTTAAGTAATGCTGCAGTGAATAACCTTGTGAATAGATTATTTCATTATTTAAAAAAATTTTTTTTGATGGCTGGCCAGTGAGATTATTTCTCATTTTGCCACACTGTAGCTTTGGGAAAGATTTCTAGAAGTGGAATTCCTAAATCAAAGGGCCAATGCATCTGTAATTGTTCTAGATACTGTCAGATTCTCTGCCATAGAGACTGTAGTCTTTAGTATTCCCGTTAGCAAGGAAGATTGCTACACAATATTTTTATCAATTATAAATATGTGCCAAGTATTTACAAATTGGGAGATTTTACTTAAAAATCCTCATTTCCAGCTTCTCTTGGGGGGGAAAAATCAGTGGATCTGGCAGTATGTTAGGCCTCACTCCAAACATGGCAACGGTTGGCTAGAACTGAATAATAGCTGCCCCTTTCATGGGGAAACTCTCTAGGTTGCTATGGCCTTACCTGGCCTTTTTATTTGCTCTTGCTACCTACCAGCCCTCTGTAAGCATGTTTTTGATCCCTGCTCTGTATGGTTGTCTGGGTAGGTAAAATGGAGACTCAGTTTTGGACTTGAGGACATAGAGATAAGTTCAGATTACTATGTTAGAAGAACCACCAGTGTGTATGTTGAAGATCCTAAAAGTGATGGCAGGGAATAGAACAAGGGGTTATTATGAACCCAGGATTGGAATTCTTGAGAAAGGTATGTGTCTTAGAGGTCCACGGATGACTATCTGAAAAGGGAAGTAAATACTTTGTGTGTCTGCCATGATTCTATACAAAAGAGTTTTTGCGAAGGCAGCACTATAGTAGATCTGGAAAGGACTGGTGACTGGGAGCAATCAGTATGCTAAGCCTTCCTGGTGTACTCTTCCTGCCTTCTCTATGTACTGAGAGTTGAGAGGCTGGAGAAGGTGGTGAATGGGAGAAGGAGCAGCCTCTTACATTTAGATTAACATTCTCTGGGCTTCTCCTTCTAGGTCTTGGGTCCATTCTCTTGCTGTCAGAAGTGTATCCTTTTTGACCTTCCTGTCTTAATCTGGTCCCTGTTTCAGGAGAGAAGCCTCATCAGTGCCAAGTCTGTGGGAAGACCTTCTCTCAGAGTGGGAGCAGGAATGTGCATATGAAAAAGCATCACTTGCAGCTGGGAGCAGCTGGGAGTCAAGAACAAGAGCAAACTGGTGAGGAGGGGATGTCTACATAGCGAAGGGCTGTAACTTCTAGGTTCAAAGAGCCAAATTGTTGGCCTACTTGGTTATCTGGAAATGTTCTGATTCTGTTTTGCCTAGAGAGACGTGGTCTCATTTGATAGGCTGATGGTTTCCAAATGTAGCAGTACGGTAGAATCCTCTGAAGGCTTTTAAAACATGTATTTTTTTGTTTGTTCTCTTGGTCCCCCCACCCCAAAACCCTAAAACAACCTGACAAATGAAATAATTTGTAAGATCCCAGAATCTGTAGTTTAAAAAGTTCCCCTAGTGAGTGTGATGGGAACTAGTACTTATATTGATCCATGAAGCAGCATTTGAATAGCATGGTGATAAAAGACTTCTGTATGACAAGAATTTAAACATTTTTCACTTATCAGTCATGACTACCTTTTTGCCCTACCTTAAATTTAATAACTCTTTTTTTATTCTTATTCCTTTTCTATGTCTTTCCTTAATCAATTATTTCATTCTAAATGCTCCTTTCTAAGGATCCACCCATCCCATTTCATATGCCAATTCTTCAGATACTGATCACAAGCAAGAATAATTATCCCTAAGGCTCAACTCTTCCATTCTAGGTTTATTTTTGTTTCCCGGAAATAGGAGGTGGTGTTCAAGATATAGGTTAACTTTTAGTTCTAAAAGAGAAGTCCAGCTTCCTTGTGAAGGAAAATGAGGACCAGGCACAGCCTTGACTGCTGTATGTCTCTCACATCCTATTCTCTGTGCAGCTGAGCCACTCATGGGCAGTAGTTTGCTTGAAGAGGCTTCAGTACCCAGTAAAAACCTGGTGTCTATGAATTCCCAGCCCAGCCTTGGTGGAGAGTCCTTGAACCTACCAAATTCCAATTCTATCCTGGGAGTTGATGATGGTAAGACTTCCAACTCTCCTTTATTTGGGGAAAGTGGGCTGCAACAAGGGGCTAAAGAATGGGATGTTTCCAAAATGGAAGTTTTAATTAATCTCATTTCTTGTGAGTAGTTGTAGTATGATTGAGTAGCATTTGTGTTCTTATTCTCTGGGATGGATAAGTGGATCTGTAAAAAAAAAAAAATTCTCATTGAACATGATGTAACAAAAGAATAAAGAGAAAAAATTTTTAAAAGAGAAAATTATCTATAATCCTAGCATCCTAGCCCAACTATTTCTATCTTTCCTGTTGCAGTTATGGAAGAACTTAACTTTTAAAACATTTAAACAGAATATAACCAGGTTTTACAGAGGAGATGTAAAGCAATTTCTCCATAACTTCTAAAGCCATATCTTCTGGAGAAAAGAAAGGGATCTCTAGGAAACAGTTGCTCCTCTTTGGTATAGAAATTTCACCCAAGTTACACAGGCCAAGCCCTCTTCTCTGAAAGAAAGGTGAGGTCAGCATGCATTTATTCAGTGCCTACTGTGTGCTTGGCACCATGAGAAAGACAAAAGTAGAAGATAGGGACCTTAAAATCCAGTTAAGAAATCAAAACTTATGTATAGGAAACAACATTGAGCAAATAGATGATAGTGTATAAGCAAACATTAAATTATATGGTACAGTCTGGAACAGTATAAGCTAGAAAGCCCCTAGAAGAAACTTTTAATTTGTTTGAGGGCTAAGTGAGATATATCTGTAAAGTATTTCCAAAAGATTTTCATGGTGATCCCACTAATGAACATTTAATAAGCATGTGAAGTCCTATGTTTTAGTTACTCTTATCCTATTCAAGTCAGTTTTGGTTATAGTGTCTGTGTTTTCGTAACTTCTATATGGAGCCTACAAGCCCCAGATTGTGATACCACAATAAGTCTCCTGTTTCATGAATGATACTAATAAAGCACAGAAATTGCATGGAGCTGTTTTGCCAGACTTGAAGAAGAAAGTCTTAAGGGAGGAAGGGACGCTGAGTAGGAACTTTAAAGCCAGGTTTGACTTGCACTGTTATTAGTATCATTGGTGACTACTTTAATGGATAGCTCTAGTTCCCTCATCTGCCTGCCTAGGCAGCTTTTGCCCTGTTTCATACACAGTTTTAATCCAGATAACAGTGCAAAAGCCATATGATTCTAAATTGATACATTGAAAAATGGTCAACTCTTTTATCAAGATTTCTTGCTTTTTCTTCCCTCCCTCCTTTTGTAATACTTTCCAGATTTACTGATAATTATTATCAGACAGGATAATTAACTTGGAGGAAATATAGGGATGTTCAGGGAACAGTTTTTCGAGTTTCTGATGAAAGGCTTGTGATGCAGGTAAGATATATCTGTGGATTCACATTTTATTGAAACATTTTTCTCTTGTTTCACAGAGGTGCTTGCTGAAGGATCCCCACGTCCCCTGTCTTCAGTGCCTGATGTGACACATCACTTGGTGACCATGCAGTCAGGGAGGCAATCATATGAAGTTTCTGTCTTAACTGCAGTAAATCCACAGGAGGTAAAACTGTCTCTAGGCCTTACTTTGTTTCAGTGGCAACTGATGTGGAGAATGAGTGGGAATCTAGTTTAGAGGATCTGAAAAATTCTCCAGTTTCCATTTCCTGAAAACTTTGACTGTAATATCTTCCTTTAAGCTAAACATGAGTCCAGCTTGAAAGGAGCCTGAATGGGAGGGTCTTGTGAATTGGGAGATTAAACTGTCACAGCCGGGACTCTCAGCTTTAAAGTTCCTTTATACACATTCTTTTTTTTTAAAAATAAGGATGACCGGTAAGGGGATCTTAACCCTTGACTTGGTGTTGTCAGCACCATGCTCACCCAGTGAGCTAACCGGCCATCCCTATATAGGATCCGAACCCAGGGCCTTGGTGTTATCAGCACCACACTCTCCCGAGTGAGCCTCGGGCCGGCCCCCTTTTACACATTCTTCAGTGAATATCTATTCCTGATGTTCTCTCTCCCTGTAACATCAACATGTTCCTTTCATTTTATAAAGAAAATAATATCCTGGAACAGAGTGGTCCCTGAGCAAAAAGGGATTATTAAAAATAATTATCATTTATTCTACTAGGGTCATATTTCTGGGAGATACCAAGCTGAGCCACCCGGGTATACAGGAATGTGTTCACTTGCCTGTTGAAAGAGAACCACCATTAAATCAAAGAGGAGTGTTAGGTTGATTTTTAAGCACTTCCAACTCTGTGGTCTTGGCTCTGACCCAGAAAACAGAATGAAACCAGGCAGGCTTCTAGAATATTAGGACATTTTATTGGTCTGTGTGGTGGGAATAGTTGACTTCATCATGAGCTCATTTCATATGCGTAAGCTTTTGCCAAAACTGTGTAGCTTGGATCCATTCCGTATTACAGTAATTTTTTTTTTTTTTCGCAGCACTCTCATATTTTTCCCTTTTTCCATTCATTATTAGCTTTATACCTCAGTAAGCTCTTACATCATTCAAACGACTCTGCATTCTATATTAAATATTCTCAATTATTCTATAATATTCCTGGGGGTACCCAGGATCACAGGGTTCTGAGTGTGCATATTAATGCTACTGCTGGGATTTCTTTTTTGTATTAATTGTTGTGACCCATTGTCTAAGCCTTGCTTATATGATGAGGATACTTCAACAAGTTCGTGGAAAAATAGAATTAAAAGATAATGCAAATATTTCTACAAACTTTTTGAAATATCCTTGTATATTGAAAATTTTATTAGTAGTATCACTGGTTCTTTCCTAGTTCACCTTTTCCTGATTACTTCCTTGGAACTAATCATCTGTATCTTACTTATGGAGGCTTCTTCTTTCCCTATTATTCCCCTCTTCATTTTTCTGTTTTAAATTTTTCTTTATGGAAGTTTTCAGAGTACAGTGAGAGAAGAATATAGTGAACTCATGTATCTATCACTTAACTTCAACAATTAATTTTATGCTGTTCTTGTTTTATCTCTTTCTTCTCCGCTTTGTTGTTGTTGCTGTTTCGTTTGTGCTGGAGTATTTTAAAGCAAAGTGCAGACATATCATTTCATCTGTAAATATTTTAGTATATACCTCTAACAGATAAGGATTTAAAAAATAACTATAATAATATCTTTACCACAATCAACAGAATTAACAATAATTTATTAATATCCTCTAATATGTTTTTTTTTTCTTCTTAAAAGTCTTTTTATGGTAGGTTAGCTTGAATCAGGATTCAGACAAAGCCTAAACAATGCATTTGGTTAATATTTCTTTTAATTTTAATAGTCCTCTTTTTTTCCCCAGTATGGTTACTTATTTAAAGAATTAGGTTATTTGTCCTAAGGAATTTCTCACATTCTGATTTTGGCTGATTGACTCCTTTTGTTGTTTAATAATAATTTTTCCATCCACCAGATTTCCTAAAAACTGGTAGTTACATTTTAAGGTTTGATTAGATTTATTCTCCCCTCCTCCTTGGCAAGAGTATTTCAGAGGTGGTGCTCTTGCTTCCTATTCCATCTCTTTTGTTTTCACTGTACATGTTTATGGGGCACAGTTTGTTACATGCATATATTGTATAACGATCCAGTTGGAATAGTTAGCATATCTATCACCTAAACATTTATCATTTCTTTGTGGTTATAACATTCAAGATCCTCTTTTCTGGCTATGTTGAAATATACAACACATTATTTGCTCTTGTTACCCTAGATCACCAGAACTTATTCTTTCTATCTAACTGTAACTTTGTACCAGTCTACCAACTTTCCCCTGCTCCCCCTTCCCCGCCGCCTCTTTCCCTACTTCTGGTAACCACTATTCTACTCTCTATTTCTCTTTTTTTCTTTTTCTTTTTCTTAACTGACCCATAATAATTGCATATATTTGTGGAGTACAATATGATATTTGGGTATGTTCATACTGTGTGCAGTGATCATATCAGGGCACTTAGTATATCCATCACCTGAAACATTTTTACCTCTTCTGAAACATTTGTTACCTCTTCATATTGGGAACATGCAGCATCATCTCAACTATTACATCTTATCAGAAGGCATATGATAATCAGTTGCTCTCCTCTTGCTGATCTTAAGATTGACTGTTAGGTAATGTAAAAAGTTTTGGCAACCATTAGTGATCATGGCCTAGATCTATTTTTTCATTAGGGCTTGCAAAATGCTGATATCCTAATTCTCTTGCTCCCTCTGCTTTTATTAATTGTGATTCTTCTATAAAAAATATTTTCTTTTATCAATCATAGGGTTGCCTTGAAGTAGTCTCAGTCTGTTCTGTGCTACTATATAACAGAATACCACAGACTGGGTAATTTATAAGCAATAAATGTTTATTTGGCTCATGGTACTGGAGGCTGGGAAGTCCAAGATCAAGGGGACACATCTGGTGAGGGCCTTCTTGCTGTGTCACAAGACGGCAGAAGGCATCACATGGTGAGAGAACATGTGCAAGAGAGAGCAAGAGATTGAACTCACAGCCTTAGCCCCTTTTATATTCTGCCCTCATGACCTAAAAACCTCCCGTTGGGCCCCACCTCCCAACACTGTTGCACTGGGGATTAAGTTTTCAATACATGAACTTTAGAGGACACATTCAAACCATAGCATAGTCATTTCAGGAAGATCATCTCTTTTTGCCTGGTACAAATTATTATCCAGACAAACCAACCCAGAATACTTAGGCTTTTCTTTTTTATATTTGAAACCATAGATCTTTTCTCTCCTATACTGCTAAATACCTTTTTTTAAATTGAAGTGTACTCCAAGTTACCCCAAATAAATGGCAGGTGTATACAAATAATTCATTCAACAGATATTTATTACATACCTAATGTGTGCAAGGCATCTTCAGGATACTAGTTATACAGTGGTAGACAAAATACAATCTGTGCCTCAAATAGCTTACAGGTAGAGTTAGGAACTCTACCTTTTATAACTTCATAACTATATAAATGGTGCCCCTGGAGTTGTGCTCTACAAAAAGGTAAGAATGGGAGGGGTGACAGATCAATAAACTGGCGATTTTTTATAGTGTAGTAAGTGCCAGTCTTTGGAGAAGTCAGAGAATATGTTTTAAAGTTTAAGTTGAGACCTGAGGGATGAAAAGAAACCATCTTGGTTGAAAAGTAGGAGGAGTTGGAAAAAAAGTAAGGTCAGCAATATGTACAAAGGCAGAAGTGAAAGGGAGCAGGGCGTGTCTATGGAACTACAAACGGTTGAGTATGATGGGCTGGAATGGAAAAATGAGAGCTGGAAAGATAAGCTAGTCCTTCTCTTGAAGGGCCTCATAAAACATTATTTAAAGTATCCTGGGGGCAGTTTGGACCACTGCATGGTTTTAAGCGGTATGACATGGTCAGATTTGTGTATGCAGAAAGTCCAGTAACAGTGCATGTGTTCTCTTGAACCTAAGCATATGGGTCTTGGAATTGGCTTCAGAGCATCCATGTGTAGGTGCTGCCCACTCACAGCCTCAGGTAGACACAATAATGCAGCCTGCCTAAAACTCAAAAGAAAGTGTGACCTTCATCCCAGGAGGACACTAAGGGCCTAGAGTAACCAATTTTATATGGAAGCCCCAAACACAATACAAAAATATTAACAACACAAAGGGGGAAATTCTGTACTATCACTTTTTCTTCATGGATCCTTGTGTGTTTACCAACACACTGAGTCTCACCTCTGTGTTTTCTTCACTATTGCCGTTATTATCTTCCTCTTGTCACAGGCATTTCCACTGCTTATTCCCACCTTTTCTTTCTTCTCTAGGTAGGCTTATCATATCCTCCAATACCTTCACTTTTTTCAAGCTACAAGTCCCTCAAGACTCCAGGCTTAGTCATCTTCCTCATCCAAGGTCTGGCCATTCCTCTGATGAGTGAGGGTTGTTGATTCCTTAAGAAATCTCAGATGTCAAAGAAGGTGAAGGCTATTTGCAATCCTTAAAACAACATGTTCCCATTCCAAGTTCTGTTTTTGGAGATCACCGTGCATTGTAGGTCAGACCTATAAGAATCTGCTGATGAACTTCTAACTGGACTCCTGTCAATATGCTCTAAAAATAAAAATAACCTACCAAGAATATCAGAGAATAACCAAATCAAGTATCAGAAATTATCATGGAAAATATATCAAAAATAAGAATCTGCTGATGAACTTCTAACTGGACTCCTGTCAATATGCTCTAAAAATAAAAATAACTTACCAAGAATATCAGAGAATAACCAAATCAAGTATCAGAAATTATCATGGAAAATATATCAAAAATTACAAGTGAACTCTTATTCATGTTGTTCAGATTGGACAATTTCTATTTTCCTTTAGTATTGCTGCAGGTCTTCTGCGAATTAGACAGAGAACTTGTTGCACAGGCCCAGCTGGAACCCTGGGGCTTTTGGACTCTCATACCCACCATCCGATATGGGGTTCCATATTGAGTTCACATTCTTGAAGTCAAGAACCTTTATAAGTTATTCCTAGCTAGCTTTGACTGCATCTTAGAATATTTTCCAAATAAAACAAAGCAAAAATCAGAAATTACAAATTCTTTAACATCTCTCATAAAGTACCATTGCTGAGTTTGAGTGCAAACATCTGGATCTTGGCCTACATTTAAAACACACCATTCTGGGCCGGCCTGGTGGCGCACTGGAGAGTGCGCTGCTTGGGAGCGCGGCGGCGCTCCCACCCGAGGGTTCGGATCCCATGTGGAGACCGGTTCCTGCTCACTGGCTGAGCGCGGTGCGGGCGCAACACCGAGGGTTGCGATCCCGTTGCCGGTCAGTAAAAAAGACAAAAAGGAAAAACAAAAACAAAAAAACCCCACACACCATTCTTACAGCACTACCACACACTAAGGGTTGCGATCCCGTTGCCGGTCAGTAAAAAAGACAAAAAGGAAAAAAAAAAACAAAAAAAACCCACACACCATTCTTACAGCACTACCACAATCAAATGAAATCTGTGGTTCCTTTAAGCTTTTGAATTTTAAAAAAATTTTGCTTTAATATCTTTAAATTCCTTATTAAATTCTAGTATATAAATTATTTTCATACAAATTAAGATCCCTAAGTACATCTCAAGCTCAAGAATTTATCTGATTAAATTTAATAAGCCCAGTTTTTATTCTGAATTTCACTGAATTGTACCTATCTCATTTTGTTTTGGTGATAAAATGGAAACCAGTTTCGTCAATTATTGTACTTCCTTTGAACAGAAGCCTAGAGTGTAGAGTAGAATGTCAGTGTTGGCTGCCATCCTGCAGGGTTCTCAGACTTACCTCCCTTCATCACAGGAAAGGTATTTTTTTAAGTCCAGTGAACCCTTGGATCTCTTATGAATGCTTTCTAGCTCTCATATAGAACTTATAACAGGAACAGCTCTCTTTTCTGTTTCCTTCTCCTACTTGAGCCTTTTGCCTATGCTTTAGCCAACACTGACTTAATAAGATTTTTGGTTCCACCTTTTCTGATTACTCTGCAGATTCCTTCATTGCTGACTGGTGAACCTGTGACTAAACAAAAAGTAGTTCAGCTTATACACTCAGGATATTTTACTGCCATAGTTAAAATGCTAGTATCATGAAGTGGCCAAAGTGCTGTCCTAAGGCCAGTATATGAATGAGATTTATCTGTCTATGCATGTGTTTTGCTTTGGAACTATGTATCCTTGACTCACCTCTACAGCGCAATCCCCACCCACCACTCAATTCTTTTACTTTTTATGAATTATTTATCCTATAATTCAACTGTAACCCATTCTAGCTTTGCCTGTAATTTTTTACAGTTACTAAACCAAGGAGACTTAACAGAAAGACGGACATGAACGTGGGTACTGACTCCAGGAAGAGCAGCTCTATCTGATTGCAGAGTGCATATAGTGGGAACAGGATGCTATGGCTCATGATCTGCCAGAACCAAAATGAATGTGTGAAGGACAAGACCCCACTTTTGCCTCAGTTCATCTTCCCTGGCATAGAAGATGGATGTAGGAGAGGTTCTCTTCAAACTACCATCCGATCCAGATAAGGAATGAAGCAGTGACTGTGGGCTGGGTAACTGTACCTACCTCTCTTCCCACTGCAAGTTTTTTGGGATGGACTTCTCTCAAAAGCGAATTTGTTTATGTGTTGGCTGAAGTTTTCCATTGTGACTGAGGGGAGGTTTTCCTTGGAAGAGTTTTCATCTCGACTCAGCTATCTTTTCACGTAGATGAACTAAGGCCTGCCACCAACCACAGAACTTCACCAGGAAGTTGAGTTTTCAAGATGCCTTGTTGCTTTGAAGAAGGGAGTGATGTCAGTTCTGTTGTGACATTCTCCCTTTAGCAACCTGAGTAAGAGACTCTGCCACTGGGCTGCAAAAAATAAATTACTTGAATCTCCCCTTAGCCCAGGCTGAGGTACTAGCAACCTGAGTAAGAGACTCTGCCACTGGGCTGCAAAAAATAAATTACTTGAATCTCCCCTTGGCCCAGGCTGAGGTAGTCTTGTCCTGCACACCTCTACTTACTTGGTCACTTTGCCACTTTGCTTTCTTTGTTTATGGAACATATAGTAGCATGTTAGGTTTTTTTTAAGTTAAAAATTACATGATTCAGAGCTTCAGTTTTCTCTTTAAATAAACAAAACAGCCCAGTCAGTTCTTTAGCTCTTATTGTAGACACAATTTATTTTCTTAGGAGATTAAGAAAATAATTCAGTCTTTCTGTTTAAGATAGGGTATTGATTTTTCTTAGGATTCCATGCAGGTAAAACTGAACTGAGAAGTCATGACATGAGCATCTTCATTTCTAACTAGCAAACCCAGATGGTAGTTATCAGAGTATCACTCTGTCACCACCAGAAAAGACCATGTTTGAATCTGGGGAAATGGCAATATCAGGTAGTTTTGAATTTTTCCAGAAAAGTGGTTAAAAAAAAAAAAACAAAACACAAGATAGGTGCTTCTGGGCCGGCCTGTGACTCACTCAGGAGAGCACGGTGCTGATAACACCAAGGCCACGGGTTCAGATCCGATATAGGGATGGCCAGTTGACTCACTGGCTGAGTGTGGTGCTGACAACACCAAGCCAAGGGTTGAGATCCCCTTACCAGTCATCTTTTAAAAAAATAAAAGAAGGGTGCTTCTGTTAGAGCAGGCACTCTTTTTTTTTTTGGTGTCTGCACCATGCTCAGCCAGTGAGCGTACCGGCCCTCCCTACACAGTATCCAAACCTGTGGCCTCAGTGCTACCAGCGCTGCACTCTCCCGAGTGAGCCACTGGGCTGGCCCAGAACAAGCACTCTTTTTTTTTTTTTTTTGTGACCGGTAAAGGGATCACAACCCTTGGCTTGGTGTCGCTCGCACCGCACTCTTCCGGGTTTTAACTAGTCTTGCAGGATGGTGCTTGGACCCAGGAGCTTATAGCAGAGGACAAATGTGATGCAGAGTCAATACACAAAGTGCCCAGGAAAAGCCCCAAGCAGAAGACACACTGACTCACGCCCACCGGGGCTCCAGCACGGACACCCTGCTTGTGTGCGCATCCCAGGAATGGCGCTCATCAAATGGAACCCGTAACCGATGCAGACCGCACGTCCCAGTTCCAGCTGCCCACAGACTCTCCAGAAGCTGCAGTGGCACGAGCCCACCTTCCCCACCCTGGCCGCCTCCTCTCAATATGAGACAAGGTAATTCAGGCAGCTCTTAAGCTTGGACCGATGCAGACCGCACGTCCCAGTTCCAGCTGCCCACAGACTCTCCAGAAGCTGCAGTGGCCGAGCCCACCTTCCCCACCCTGGCCGCCTCCTCTCAATATGAGACAAGGTAATTCAGGCAGCTCTTAAGCTTGACTTCCTTGATTTAGTTTCCTGTCTGTACAGGCAGAAAATGGCCCATTTATATGGAGATAAGGGCGTTTACAGCCAGAGCATCACCACCAGAAACGTACTGCCCTTCGGAGAAAGCGCTTTCCTCTTGGCCTCTAGCGATGCAAGCAGCCTGGCAGAGCCCTTCCCAGCCCCTTCCCAGCCTGGGTCTGCCAGGAGAGACTGGGCACTGTGGCTACGGTTACCAGTGTGGGGCTTGTCCTCCTCATGATGGCTATGAACTGTTTTCCAGGTGAGCAAAGAGAGGCATGGGAAGAGACAAATGAGAACTGGACAGATGAAAAATGAGCTCAGAAAACAGCAACAGGGAGATGCAGAGAGGGAGGAGAGAAGGGAGAGGAAGAGAGAAAGAGGGAGAAGAAAGGAGAGGGTGGGGGCAGGGAGGAGAACGAGGCCCCCAGCCCGACCTCTGCCCTTTCGGGCCACACTGTAGAGGCAATGACCTGCCTTTTCCCAGGAGACAGGCTCCAAACAGGCACATCCCATCAGTTAGGTGGAGGGCGGACAGCTGCTGCTGGGGGCTGTCCCTGAGATCCAGCTGGGAAAGGACCCTGCCCACATGTTCCCACACTTCCCGGCTCTCTGGAAAGCTCAGCTCACTCTCCGCCGCCAGGCTCCCTGCTCACAAACCTCTTACACCCATTAAGCCACAGAGGCAGTGGCATTGGCAGTTGGCAGGCAGCAGAGCCTCTGTGCTTTTCCAGAACCCTGGCGTTTCCCGGAGTACTGACTCGACCATGCCCGGCCCCATGGGCTGCTTCCAGCCCTGGATGCTGCCTGTAGCTGCCGGGGGCAGGATCCTGCTCCCAGGACTGGTGGTGATGCTGGGCCCTGGGGACACAGCTCTCAGGCTCTTTCTCAGTCTTCCTGGGAGGTGGGGGTCAAAGAGGGGCCTCCATTTTCTTTTGGGGTGTCAGAGTTCAGCCAACCTTGAGAGACCTCCCTCCAAGGGACCTGAGAGACATGCTGTGCTGCAGCCCTCATGCCAGCAAAGGTAAAGATGGGAGAGAGGCCAACATAAACTTCAGCACCATGGACAGAGGTTGTGGGACCAATGGAGGGCAAGACCCTCAGATGCCCAGGGACGGACCCCACAAACCAGCCAGGGATGACCAGAGGACCCACAGCAGATACCCATGTGGCCTGCCGGTGGGTCCTGGGCTCCCTGGGGAAGCTGTGCCCCTTGCTAGCCTGGTACTTGGGAAAGTCACTGCAGCCAAGTTGAACCTTAGCGTCCTCACCTGCGACATGAGGATCCCACAGAGGATGGAAGAGGAACCAAGGAGAGCATGTAAGGAAAGGCCTTGAGCATTTCTGACGTGGGGGAAACCCAAGCATAGAGAAGCAGTGCTCAGAGACGGGAGCAGCATGGCAAGGGCACCTGGGCCTCACTGCCGGGACAGAGGCAGGAGGACTCAGCCCGGCCAGCAGGACCCAGCCCTTTGCCCACACCGCCACACCCACACACAGACACCAGGGGTGCTTCCTCCCTGGCTCTCAACCAGCCCTGATTCTGGGAATACCCAGGTGACCCACTGCGACCCCAACTCTTCTTGGAAGCCAAAGATACAGCCAAGACAACAAATGGGGGAACAAATCAGCCTCATCCCCCTCATTTCTGCAGATGAGACTGGGCTAGAGCTAACTGCATAACGGGTACCTGCAGCTGGGAGACAGTAACAATACAGATGGCAACGTGACACGGACCAGAAGGGGCTCTTGCAGTGACACCACAGGGGAGCTGACCTGAGCACCTGATGGGAAGCAGGCATTGTCACATCCCAAGGTGCAGGAGGGGCGAAGGTGGCCAGCACAGCCCAGAATGCAGGGAATGGGCAGGCAGGCAGGCGGGCAGAGGGAAGGCGCCTCCAGCAGACTTCGCTATCTGGCAGGAGCAGCAGTGTGTGCACAGCTCAGGGGAGCAGCCTGGCAGAAGGCCGCAAGCTGGGCACTGACAGCAGGGCTCGCCCAGCGTCCACTCCAGAGCTGAGAGGGAGAGCAGGAGGGCAGAGATGGCTGGTAAGGAATGAGCCAGAGCCATGCCAGAGCACGTCTGTGGCTCACCGGCGGCCCCTCTCCTGCAGCCCCCCTCTGGGGCTCAGGAAGATGGCAACCCCTCATTTCACGGCGGGAGGGGGAGCCCTTCTCTCTCCTCTGTCTACTGCACTGGGGACAGCCCAGTCGAAAAGAAGGCTCTGAGCCCCCACATCCCCCAACCCTCCTCCCCTTCCCTGAGCCTCTCTGCCCTGCCTTCTGCCTCCACCAAACGGGGGCCCATCCCCTCCTGCACCCGGATCTCATCCAAGCCCTCTGGCCCACACCAGGGGCTGGCTGAGGGTAGGGGGCAGAACAGGTCAGTATCCGCAGCAGAACTCTATATCCAGCTGTTCTGATGCTTCTAGAACTGGGCCTCCTTTTTCTTTTTCTTTTTCTTTTTCCAAGATCTTTCCTTGCAGAGACAGGGGCAAAGGGAAAAGCTGCAAATGGTCTGAAAACAACTTGAAGAGGCGTGACCTGGGGATGAGTATCATTCAGTAGCAGGAAGAGAAGAAAGGACCAAGAACCAAAGGTGGATGAGCCATTTGATATCTTGAAACTTACCAAGTTTCAAGGGGTTTGCAGGCCAAGCCCCTTTAGGGGAGGAGACCCAGGCACAGACCAATAATTCCCTAATAAAGTCCCTGAATGAACCTCAGCCCCGAGGTCTGAGAGCAACCGAACCACACTGTGGGCTGTGAAAATCAGGATGACAGTCGGGCCTTTGACCTTGGCACTGTCCTTTTGGCTGAGGCAGCCCTGGGCATGACTGTCAGGGTTCCTCCACCAGCTGGTCGAAGAATCTTAGAGGACTTGGAGTCCCCAAAAGGAATCCACCTGCGAAGCTGCCTTAAACACTAAACCCAGGCTGTGTGTGCAAAAGGTGGGGGGAGGCAGGAGGGGGTCTGTGCTCTGAGCCCCAGGCCCTGCTAAGGGTACAACATGCCAACTACAGCCCTGGGGCCCCCGAGAGGGCAGTCCCCACAGCCCCCTTCCCTCCCAGCTCTGCAGATGTCTCTCAGTTGAGGCCACCCATCTCCCTCTCCTTCCCTGTACGCCCGATGCTCCATGCACACGCTGCATCTCCCAGAAAAAGAGGCATTTAAACTCAGAAAGGAAGGACTCGGAGAGTTGGTCATTCTCAATTTGGGGGTCCTTCGAGATTGAGAGGGAAAAAGAAAGAATGAAATATGAGCCTTCCCATTCACGAGTGTTATAAACAGTTATAATTTAGCACTGAATAATTGGTTGCTATGGTAACCGCTGCAGTACAGGTTGAAATCATTTCTCCCTCCTTCGCTCGGGTCTGACAAGGAGCTTCATCTACATATGCTCAGGTTCCGGCTGCAGCCTGGTTATTTTATGTAAATCAGAATTCACGACTTGCCGCCTGCCCCCTCCACACTGCTGCTTGGGGCCCACTCCCCTGGCCCCTCTGCCACCTCAACCCACTGCCTCATCTTGGGGCAACCTGGTTGGAGATGGGGCGGGGCAAAGAGGTGAAATTCCCCTGCCCGTGTCCTGGGGTCCCAGGCCTACCAGGCACATGGGGGACCCACAGCAGATCCTGATCTCTGGCTGCAGCATGCTCTAGAACCCCTAAAACCTGACATCTGGTGGGAACCAGGCTCTCAGAGTGCAGGGGAGGGAGGAAGCCATGGCCCGAGGGCCACCTTGAGGGCCTGTTTGGCTCTACCCAGTCACTGGGAGGCCTCCTGTCCACCCCAGCCCTCCACTTCTTCTGAGAACCAGAATTGCATCTCAGTAGAGAGAATGAGAGAGGGAGAGAGAGAGAGGGAGAAAAAGAGGGAGAGGGAGAAAGGGAGGGGAGAGAGAGGGAAGGAGGGAGGGGAGAAGGAACAGAGAGAGGGAAGGAGGGCAAGGGAGACAGGCGGAGATGTCCAGAGATGCACAAGGCAGAGCACAGGCCAGAGGGAGAGACAGAGCACATGAGACCCAGGGAGAAACAGAAACAAAATCGCTCTCAGAGAGAGGATGGCAGGGAAGACCTGGGCTGGTCGGAAAAGGGAAGGTCACCGTGGTGGTGGCTC